AAAAGGAAAAAAAAAGAAAAAAAAAGAAAAAAAAAGATTTTGAGGGGAGCCATGAGAAAGAAGAGGGGTTTGTTAATAAGAAGTAGGAAGCCTGAACCAGAGATGCCCAGAGTTGACTCAGAGAGGTCTCTAAAGGGCCCACTGCACACGTGGCTTTAGGAAGTGCTGCCTCAGTTCACCAAACCCTGGAGTGGATCCACACCAGAGCTCAAGGGGATGGCCAAGAAGCCCATTTAAGCTGCTTTCCCACTCTGCAGGTTCAGCTCAACTTTCCAATGCCCTGACTGCCAGGCCAGGCTTGTACCACACAACAGGCACCATCAGCAGCCACTCTAATGCTGTGTTTGCCAACTGCAAATCACACCTTCGCTCCTCACAGGAAGCATTTAAAAAGCAAAAAGATGCAACCACACCTTGCTCTTGTGATGGCTGCGCAAGGGAACCGTGCTTTTTACAGACTGGACTTTTCAGGAAGAAATATCAGAGTTCTATGATTTATTATCTGAAATAGATTTAAACATTGGAGAAAGGAGAAAAAAGAAGGTTTCAAACACAAAGCCCTGGAAATGAAGAGATGCTAATCTGCCAAACAGCAAACCCATGAGCTGAGGTTAGAGAGGAGGCTGCACATGACAACAGCTCACTGAATGCAGGGCAAAAATTGCAGATTAATTTCACTAGAACACTCCACAGAAGTGAGCTCTCCTCTGAGGCGAGGAAGTACGCAATGCTTTTCCAACTGTTAAAGATAAGGGGTGGTACAAATAAGGTAAGTATTCCTCTTTGGCGTAGATAATCACAGGGAAAAAAAAAAAGATGACATTTTAGCTTTTATTATTTTATATTTGGCCAGGACTTTTAAAGGAAGGACTTTTAAAGGAAACATCAAACATTCACTTTTCTGTAGGTCTAGAAAGGATTCAGATTTCCCCCACCCCCGCCTCCCAGAGGATTTCTATTGGCCCTTCTTATATTCACGCCGCAAATTAGTTGGGAATAGCAGTATTTATACTAGATCAGCAACGTCTGGTTCTTATCCAAATGTTCCACCTAAAGAGGATGCCAGTTCTCATGGATTGGACAGCCCACCCTGCAGCATTCCTGAGAATTGTACAATATAATCTTGAAA